AGGATTATGCTATGAATATTATTTCTCAGCACCACAACACCACTCATCTATTTTCCAGTTTTTAACTCATGTCTTATTTGCCCCCAAAATACTCATCTCTAATCCTAATGTAACAGAAATGCGTATGATGTTGCATTAGGACAAATGACAAGTTCTGTTTAGAAATAACTCCAACAACAGTTTTTATGTTTTATTTTCACATTGAAAACCAGTCAGATTTACTTCAGCTTCAAAGCGCATGTTCATGTAAAATGAAATGAGCACTGGTAGCGAGCTGCCCTTTTTCTGAACGGGAAATGAGTTAAACCAGGTACATATTTTTAAGGTGCACGTTGGACCCTATGACTTTCTGATTGTTCATCTGGGTTATTTTGGGGCTCTTTGAAATAGTGCCATTGTGAATGAACATCCTTGCACATAAATCTTGGTACACACCTTTTGTTTCCTTGAGAAATAGATGGGTTCCATGAAAACAACGCCTTTCAGGTGGCATGGGTTCCACACGTGTGTAGTGGGCTCCGTGATGTTTCCTCATGGCTTGCATGGAGCAGAGCTGGAGTTCAGGCGCCATTTCAGTCACTTGCCGGCCTCCACCATGGCTGCACATTAGAATTATGAAAGCAGGGTTTTCTAAAGCCCTGATGCCTGGTCTGTGATAGAGGCTCCCAAAAGGAGAGCCCCTGGTACGATGGATAAGGCAGCAGGTCTTAAGTCAGACAGTCCTGGAATCATGTGAACTCTGGGACTCACTCAGTGATTAACTGGGCATATTTTTTAACCTCAAGGCTTGGTTTTCTCATCAGTGAAATGAGTATAATAGCTGTAAGGTGATGCAGTTGAGAGCATCCGAGAGAGAGAACGCAAGTTGCTGAGCAGAATTCCTGGTGCTCAGTAAGTGGTTGTTACTCACTATTACTCAAACACAGCAGAAAAGGCAAACAAATGAAAAAGAACCTAACCAAACATAATGGAAGCTATGTATTTACTCAAATAATTTTTCATGGCTAAGGAAAAGCTTGAGTTTCTAGCTGTGTGGCTGCATTATATTGGTGTAGTATCTGGTTATCGCACTACGCAGAATTTCTCACTGGCAGTTATACAGGACTTTGATTAGTACAACAGGGAAAATAAAGCATTGACTATGACCTTCTTGATAGACCAAAAACCTTCAAAAATGAAATCTTTGAGGAAAGGAATTCCAAAACAGTAGAAAGAATGCATAATTGGCCGGGCACAGTGGCTCAAGCCTGTAATCCCAGCACTTTGGAAGGCCGAGTCGGGTGGATCACGAGGTCAAGAGATCGAGACCATCCTGGTCAACATGGTGAAACCCCGTCTCTACCAAAAATACAAAAAATTAGCTGGGCATGGTGGCACGTGCCTGTAATCCCAGCTCCTCAGAAGGCTGAGGCAGGAGAATTGCCTGAACCCAGGAGGCGGAGGTTGCGGTGAGCCGAGATCGCGCCATTGCACTCCAGCCTGGGTAACAAGAGCGAAACTCCGTCTCAAAAAAAAAAAAAAAAAGGAAGAAAGAAAGAAAGAATGCATAATTATAAATATTTTGAGAACTGTTGCACTGAAGTTTTCCTTTTTTATAGTTGAGAAATATGTGGAGTTGTTTTAATAATTTTTTTCTTTTTTTAGTTGACAAGTGTATGAAATACGCTAGCTCTGTGGTGACCATTGAGACATGCTTTTATGTCGAACTGTATAAATCTTTGCCTAATTTTTCCATTGCACACCTGTGAGTGCTGCCTGTTCCGTACTATTTAATCCAACCACGTGCTTTGGTCTTTAATCACAGAAGTCTTATTTGGTGGATGGGAGTTCAGCATGTAAGTCTCACCAGCATCGAAAAACTGGCAAGCTGGCCTACAACCCTCTAATTATCTGAACAGCATAGGAGCAAGGGGTGGAAATGTGAACAGCTAAAGAGACAGTTTTCTTCCTAGTTCTTAGCATAATAAGGAAGAACATTTTCCTGTTTTAATTGAAACTACAAGTAATCTGTTTTCACTCTAGGAGGAAATAATATAGAAGGTAAGAGCAGCGCTCCTGGAGCCAGGCTGCTTGAGTTCAAATCCCAGCCCTGTTTCTTAGTAGCTGTTTGGCTATGGGAAAGTTCTTTAGCCCCCTCTGCCTCAGTTTCTCCACCCACAGAACAAAGGTAATTGTACATACAGAGTTTTTGTGAGAATTAAATGAGTGAACACATCCTTAAGCCAGTACTGGATACTTGGTGAGTACTATATGAGTGACTGCTGTCATTACTTCATCAGGATGTTAATCACTGAATTTGTAACTTTAGGTAGAAATCTGAAATTGTTTAATCTAAACACGTTCTTCTAAAGATAGATGACCTTAGTCAATGTGGGATGATTAAGAACAAATAGGGGCTGGGTGTGGTGGCTCACACCTGTAATCCTAGCACTTTGGGAGACCGAAGTGGGCAGATCACCTGAGGTCAGCAGTTCGAGACCAGCCTGGCCAACATGGCAAAACCCGATCTCTACTAAAATTACCCAGTTATAGTGGTGGGAGCCTGTAATCCTGGCTACTTGGGAAACTGAGGCAAGAGAATCACTTTAACCTGGGAGGTGACGGTTGCAGTGAGCCAAGATTGCATCACTGCACTCTAGCCCAGGTGACAGAATGAGACTCCATCTCAAAAAAAAAAAAAAAAAAAAAAAAAAAAAAAAAAAAAAAAAACGAAAAGAAAAAGAAAACAAATGGTACAGAGAGTTAGAGCCAGATTAAGTGGCCAGGGCTCTAACTAGCTGTGAAGGGTGACTAGTATTCCTCCTGCACCATGTGCCCTCCCTATAGGTGGTAGCTGTGCTGTGGTAGAAATGTACTAGACCGAGAAAGATGCATAATTTCTTCTACCTCCTAACTCAGAAATGCACCTAGATGTTCCAAAGAATCTCCTCCAAGGTGATTCTGCAGATCTCTGGGCCTGATTAGTCTCTGGGAGGAGCTGGGGTGTCAGAATGCTATCCATAACCAGAGAGCACCATTAACTGCGCCGGAGACAGTCCATTAGCACCCTCAAAAAGAGCAGCTACACATCTCGGACACACACAGAGATAGAATTTCTATACTCTTTACAGCCGGCGACGCAATTATCGTAATTCCAGAGTAGGTCAATTTTACCCAAAGAGAAAAACAAAGGGGAAATGAGTGACGAACCAGTAGCTTGGAGTATAGATGAGGAGAAACACAAGTTTCCTTCGTTTCCTTAAGAAAATTCTCATTGACTCCCAGAAGGATGCCTTTAGTAAAGAAACAATGCGTATTTTCGTTTTGTTTTCCCCAGTTGAAAAGATGAAAGAAAAGATGTTATATTGGATAAATATGTGTGCGTTTGTGTGTGTGTATGAATATATGGGCTCTGGGTTCAGAGAAACCTAGCTTTAAATTATGACTATTACTTTAAAAATGGTGACCTTGAGTAGATAATTTAGTCTTTCTAATCTATAAACTGTACTGACCTCAACTGGCTAATCAAGGTTTTCTGGATGCCTGGTACATAGTAGATACTCACTGAGTCCCTATTCCCATCACCTAACCTTTCTGCAGAGAGGTAAGAGTAGAGCTCACTGTTAGTGCTTTTGCATATGTGTGGAATCTACTGTGAAAGGAAAAGAAAAACTCAGGACCCCAATTCACCATGCTATTTTTTAGAATAAAAATAAGCCAGGCCGGGGTGCTGGCTCACGCCTGTTATCCCAGCACTTTGGGAGATCGAGGTGGGCAGATCACAAGGTCAGATCGAGACCATCCTGTCCAACATGGTGAAACTTCGTTTCTACTAAAATATTTTAAAAATTAGCCGGGTGTGGTGCTGCGTGCCTATAGTCCCAGCTACTCAAGAGGCTGAGGCAGGGGAATCACTGGAACCTGGGAGGTGGAGGCTACAATGAGCCGAGATCACCCCACTGCACTTCACTCTGGCGACAGAGCGAGATTCTGTCTCGAAAAAAGAAATAAAGAACCCAAAAACTGGATCATGCAAGAAAGTGCCTTTCCTTTTGTGCCTACACAGACAGCTACAGATAAAAGGTTAAATAGCTCCAGAGGTAGCTACTCTATGTTCACCTTATCTTATGTAAAGTGCTGATTTACTGAGCGCAACATGAATACATAATTGGCACTTCCCCTGCCTGCTCTCTTGCTCTTACAACATGTGGACTGTGACACTCTCCCTCTTTCTTCTCCAGCTCACCTATCCTTTATAAATGTCGAGGCCCTCAACTTCATCTTTGGAGAAAGGCACAGATCATAGACTGTTTCTGTGATTCCGTGTTATTTTCTTCTGGGCATGCCCTTAACCTGGGCAAAATAAACTTCTCAGATGATTGAGGCTTGTATCAGATACTTTTTGGTTTATTACGGTAAAGTAAAACTACCAACAGTTCGTGCTGATACTGTAGAGGACTTGCATGTGCCAGGTGTTATTAACTCATATAATCCACATAACTCCAGGAAACGGTGCATTATGACTTCATTTTGCATGAGGAGATTATGGCACATAGAGTTCCTGTAACTTGCCTGAGGCCACACAGATACTAAATACCATACCCAGGATTCCTGAGACCAGAGAGCATGTGCTTAACCTCTCCGTCACACTGCCTCTTTGGTGTTAGGACAGCTCTCATGAGGATATTGTGAGGATCAGGAAATACAGTGTCTGTGAAACATACTAGAGCTGAGCTCACAAAGTACGCGTCACAGTAGATGGTGTCCGATTGCCACTGGAATGTCCTAAACCAAATGAATTTTACTCGGGTGACCTTTATAAGAAAAGCACATGGGCTCCTTCATTTGGTTGTGAGTCCTCTTAGAAGGTGTCATAACCACTATCTCAGGGAAATAATTAGAAATGAGGTGTTGGACCATTCTTACAACAAATATAGAATTCCATAGCCCAGTTGCCATGCCGTGTCTTACCTTGGATGTTCAATTCAATGTCACCCAATTAAAATACACATGGACAAAAGTCAGCTTTTCATTTTTAAAAAATTTATTTTGCCTGTTATGATAAACACACTACATAATTCAACTAGAAAGAAGGCTGCTTCAGGGCGTGTAAAATGAAAGGCTTCCAGGCAGTTATCTGATTAAAGAACACTAAGGGAGGAAGGAGGCTGGAAGCCGCAGGCTGTCTACACTGTGGCTATTTGGCTTGGCTGAAGGAGCTGTGGAGAATATGGAGAGAGTGATGCTAGAGACTGCCATGGCTATTCCTCATTGTTATTACAGAGTGAGGTTTTCTGTGTGCCCGCTGGTTTGAAAACCATTGTACAATAATGATAGAATAGCACACACATGAGAACTGAGATTGCCCCAACCCAGGAAAAAAGCCCAGCTAGATCCTCAGCAGACGCTTCTAAAGACAATAAACAATGAAGAAAAGATGGCCTCCTTATGCTGCCGTCTGTTACGATCTCTCCCCCTTGCAGCAGGCAGCCGTTCCTCTAAGCAGAGAGAAGGTGATGATGGCAAAATAGATCACACTCTTGAGGAGCAGGAGGAGGTATGTGTAATATGCAGAGGTGTTTGTGAGCTGCAGCAGCAGTGCATCTAAGAGAAATTTCACATGATCTTTTTTCAGACTAAGACATGTTATTGGGAGAGGGGTTCACAAATACTTACTTCTGATGATCTACATTGAAGTGATATTCCACCACCACCAAAACATAAAAGTAAACATCTACTACTTCCACCACCACTAAGAGCAAGACAAGTCAGAATTCAGCTTTCAAGTTGATTAACAACCTCTGCTAAAGTCAGTTAAACATTGCAAACTATTAATAAGCAAGGTTGCACCATAGAAAATCAAAGAAAGTGGTTAATCCAGATTCGCTGATGTGTTAGGTAGTTGTGGCACACTCACCTGTCTCTCCTAAATGTCTCTAATTATGGCTATGCTATTATTGGGTGATATCATTGAATATCATTTGAAGTTTTGCAAGATATATGTGATGTCAAGGAATAAGTAAAGACAATGATGGTGGACCACAGTGGCTAGTCCATGAGCTACGAGGCTGAGTCTCTTCCTGTGGAAATTTCCACATTACGTGTTTTGTCTTCCTAAAGTCAGAACTCCAGAAACATCACTCCTTGGTGTGGAAAAGGATCTCAAGAAGTGATGTGTTTATAACTCCCTGCCCTTGGTTAAGTGAGATGTTACTGCCCCTCCTTGCCTGGTGTGGCAGCTGAAGTCCAGAGCCCTCTTGGTATTGGAAATAGAGGAAAGTTGAGCAGGGCTAGAGTCCATGCTTCTAGTCACATTCTTTGTGCGAATGCAGAGAGAAAAGACCGGAAACCAGTACTGATTCTGTGTCTGCTAAACACTATGCCAGACATCTCACATGCATGCCCTTATCTCTTCAATAACTATGAATTTGGTGTAATTGTTCTTGATTGGCTGATGAGAAACATGTTACTCACAAAATACAGGTCATTACATCTAATCATTAAAAGAGCCTGAGTTAAAGTCCAGTCTCCAAAGCCTAGGCACCCAGCCATCCTCACATTACGTCCATTTTGTCTCAGGTCCCTGGCTCTGGAATTTCTTGCTATCTGACTCTATTGCAGAAAAAGAATACAGAACTTAGTAAGTGCATGGACTCTTTACTTGATGGCCTGATTTGAAATCCCCGAGCTAGCTGTGTGACATGTATAAAGGATTTGTATAATTAAAGGGACTGTAAAAATGGGAGAATAAAATGTTGTACCAATTTATAGAAGTATTAAGAGGATTAAACAAGAAAGTACAGAACATAGCCCAAGCCCCTCTGTGTAAAAAGCACTTGATAAACACTAGGTCGTGTTATTAGCTAGTAGAAAGTGCAAAGACTAAAACCAAACAACTCTAGAAGCAACATGGTATCATGTTTCCCTAGTCATGAAAACAAGACACAGGAATAAATGAAGTCTCTTTTTTGAAATAATTAAAATCATATCACTGTATCCTCTAATTTACAGTCATCTCATACCCAAAGCAGCAGTTTGCTTTGTTAATACAACTCTCAGAAAATGAGGGCCTAATGTAAAATATCACTAAGTTCATTCTGCAACATCCAACCTAGAAAAATCCATTTCCTGATTTTTCAAGCTCAAGAAGTTGAAAAGTTAAAATGATCAGGATGAAATAAAAAACACAAAACTTACCATTTGTATCTTTCGAACAACTGTCTTTGGGATCCATTGAGATGACATCTAGAAGAATGAGAGCAAGTGCTAGTCAATTGTTCATGCTCATTATTTGTCAAGGGGTGTGTGTGTGCGCGTGTGTGTGCGTGTGTGTGCACGTGTGTGCATGCGTATGTGTGCGTGTGCGTGTGTGTGTGCATGCACGCATGCATGTTGTGTAATTAAATGAATATTTATAAAAATCTGTCAACAGAGAAGCAGGAGGACAGTTATTAAAAATATGAACCCACAATTCCAGAAATAATTGGTCTGATTCTATGTAATTAGGTAGATCTAATTCATATTTTATGTTTTGTACATAAAAATGTTAACGTTCATGAAGAACACATCTTTTTCTTTTTTTATCACAACTGGAGTATAGTATCCAAGACCATTTGGTTTTCCTTCCATATTCATAGCTCCTAACACAGTGCCTGCCACAAAGTCTGTTTCTGATAAATGCTTGTTCAATGGAAAAATAGAGCAAGTGGCTGCTTTACAGTCTTTAGCGCACACTGCTGTCATGATATCAGCAAAAAGAATAATTTGGGGGTTTTTTTGAGGCAAAGTCTCACTGTCACCCAGACTGAAGTGGAGTACAGCGGTATCATCAAAGCTTATTGAAGCCTCAACCTCCCCAGGCTCAGGTGATCCTCCCATCTCAGCCTCCCGAGTAGCTGGGACTACAGGCACACGCCACCGTGCCCAGCTAATCTTTGTGATTTTGTAGAGACAGAATTTCACCATCTTGTCCAGCTGGTCTCAAAAATCCTGGGCTCAAACAATCTTCCTGCTTTGTTCTCCCGAAATGCTGGGATTACAGGGATAAGTCACCACACCTGGCAGAGAATCCTTTCAGTTCTAGAATCCACAACAGAATCTTACATGTTTGAAGGAGTCTGGCTTAGGAGAATTCTCATCTAACCAGAAAAAAGCAGCCATACCTTTCCAAATCATGCACATCCCCAAGGCCCCCAGTTCCAACACATGGTTTTCTGGAGGTATAGTGTTTCTGAACATGACAATATTAATAAAAGCTAACATCTACTGAGCGCTTATTATTGCACCAGGCACTATGTTAAATGCTTCCCATGCATTTTTTGTTTGTTTGTTTAATTCCCCAATAACACTTAAGTGAGTTGTATTATGAATGGCCCCATGTTCTGAATGAGGAAATAACGTTTAAAAAGTGCAGGCCAGGCCGGGCGCCATGGCTCACTTTGGGAGGCTGAGGTGGGCAGATCACAAGGTCAGGCGATTGAGGCCATCCTGGCTAACATGGCGAAACGCTGTCTCTACTAAAAATACAAAAAAATTAGCCGTGCCTGGTGGCATGCACCTGTAGTCCCAGCTACTTGGGAGACTGAGGCAGGAGAATTGCTTGAACCCGAGAGGCAGAGGTTGCAGTCAGCCAAGATTGCACCACTGCACTCCAGCCCGGGCAACAGAGATTCTGTCTTAAAAAAAAAAAAAAAAAAAAACAGGTTCAGGCAACTTGCTGAGAATCCTACTAGTAAATAGCAGAGCCAGTATTCAGACAGTAGTTGTAGGGGAATAAAAAAAATTGCACGTCTTCCAGTCTCGGCCACAGAAGCAAGACAAGGAAGGGAGTGTCAACCTTTCGGGAAGGTTCGCAATAAGACACATGCTCCGCCTCATGGGTTCAGGCAATTCTCCCGCCTCAGCCTCCCGAGTAGCTGGGATTGCAGGCATGCGCCACCATGCCCAACTAATTTTTTGTATTTTTAGTAGAGACAGGGTTTCACCATGTTGACCAGAATGGTCTCGATCTCTTGACCTGGTGATTCACCCACCTTGGCCTCCCAAAGTGCTGGGATTACAGGCGTGAGCCACCGCACCCGGCCGGCCACCGCCACTGTGGTTCTAAGACCTACCACCTTCAGAAGTCCACCTGTGGCAAATGTGGCTGCCCCGCCAAGCGCAAGAGAAAGTATAACTGGAGTGCCAAGGCTGAAAGATGAAATACCACCAGGAGTGGTCGCATGAGGCACCTAAAAATTGTATACTGCAGGTTCAGGCATGGATTCCCTGAGGGAACAACACCTAAAACCAAGAGGGCAGCTGTTGCAGCATCCAGTTCATCTTAAGAATTTCAATGATTAGTCACGCAATAAATGTTCTGGTTTGAAAAATAAAAATAACGAAACTGGACATGTGAAAAGTACTTTGTAGAAATAATCCACAGAAATAGATATAAAGTAATTTATAAAGAGACAATATAATTTCACCATTGTGTACTCTAAGAAAATCTCTTTCAGTATGTTAATTATTCTCAGCAGATGGTCTTTTTTATTACAGGAGCTCAGCATCTTAGTGCAATTATTTCTGGAACTAGAAAGAGAGGTCAAGGTCAAGCCACATTGATAGTTCTCTGAATAAAACCTGAGGTGAGAGCTGAAAGTATCTGTGATGTAAAAAACAAAAACAAAAAAAAAAAGGAAGCAACAAATATGGATACAAAGACAACATATTTTTAAACAGATAGGAGAAAACAGAGTCACATTGGTGTTTTGGTTTATTATTTTTCGAGTAGATGTATTCCTGTCTATACGGATATGATTCTGTTCAGTAAGATCTTTATTTCGTGTATTCTATAAAATGGGCGTGAGGTATAGGTTCTGGGTAAGTCCCACAGATGAAAATGTTAGTTACCATGTCTCATGTCCAAATATCTTTAAGGTCTGACTTTAAAGGGTTTTCAATGTCTTTTTATTTTCCTTATGGTGGCTTTATTTATTAAAAGGTAAATGAAAATGACTATAACTTATTTCTATGCATTGACTGAGGCAAAAAACAAAGTAACAATTCCTCATAATAAAATCTGTAAGTGTATCCTGAGTTCCCTCTCTCACAATCAAGGTTGGTTGCCAATGTGGACTAGATTAGTTTTATCTCCTTTTTATTACAGGAGCTCAGCATCCTAGTGCGATTATTTCTGGGACTAGAAAGTAAGGTCAAGGTCAAGTCACATTGATATTGTGACTTGTCACATTGAAGTGCTTCAGAAGTACTTCATTATTATATAATATGATCACTTCCTTGTTACATTTTTAGCTTTTATCAGAAAAACAAACTTCCAATAAAGAGCATTAGAAATCTACTGTTGAATGACATTAAGAGAAGTGTCCTTCTTAACTTAGTTGTCTTGAGAAGAGCATGAAAGACATTTTACTTTTAGGCTGAGAGCGGTGGCTTACACCAGTAATCCCAGCACTTTGGGAGGCCGAGGCAGATGGATCACCTGAGGTCAGGAGTTCGAGACCAGCCTGGCCAACATGCTGAAACCCCGTCTCTACTAAAAATACAAAAATTAGCCAAGTATGGTGGCAGGTGCCTGTAATCCCAACTACTCAGGGGGCTGAGGTAGGAGAATCACTTGCACCAGGGAGGTGGAAGTTGCAGTGAGCCGAGATCCCACCACAGCGCTCCAGCCTGGGCGACAAGAGTGAAACTCCGTCTCAAAAAAAAAAAAAAAAAAATTACTTTTAGAATTTAGTGTAAAGTAAAACACATTATAAAACTGTAACTTCTTTCCTGTATGATATTCACTGCCCTGTAACTTACTATACTTTTTATTTTGCACTGATCACTAGAAAAATCAGAACCTGGCTGGGCGCAATGCCTCACACCTGTTATCCCAGCACGTTGGGAGGCTGAGGTGGGCAGATCACTTAAGGTCAGGAGTTTGAGACCAGCCTGACCAATATGGAGAAACCCCGTCTCTACTAAAAATACAAAATTAGCTGGGCATGGTGGCATGTGTCTATAATCCCAGCTACTTGAGAGGCTGAGGCAGAAGAATCACTTGAACCTGAAAGGTGGAGGTTGTGGTGAGCTGAGATCGCACCACTGCACTCCAGCCCAGGCAACAGTGCAAGACTCGGTCTCAAAAAAAGAAAAAGAAAGAAAATGAAAAGAGAAGAAAAATCAGAACTTACTAATTGGACATTTAAGCACGGTGGTAAGACTAACCTCAAGCCTTGCACATTTGCCTCCCCTTTGTGTCTCAGCAAAGAAAATAGAAAATTGGGATTGTTTTTTAACCCTACTTCAGTTAGTTTTAGGAAAGGCTGTACCTAATACACTAAATACACAAATGAACACATCCATGCTAGCGTTTTGAAAGCAAACCATTTTCCCTGCCATTGTTTTCTTTGCTCTCCATCGTAGCCCCAGGAGCAAGTCAAGGTAACTTTTGAAATCACATTTGATCACTGCAGAAACTTAGGATCTGAGAAGCTAAAGACTTGCCCTAGATATCTGGAATGGTACATGGCAAAGGTCTGCAAACATATTGTTAATGCTCATTTCCCATTAGCTGAAAAGGACTTGTTAACCATAGGGAAAAGCACAAAATTGGTCTTTTCCGTGGCCACTCTGGAGCTGCTGGACTGTTACACTCATACTCAGAATTTTGACACACAGTGAGGGCTTGGACCACTGGGCCAGGGCACGTTCAGCCCTCTGCCTGATTGTCTAGAGATCTACACAATCTGCACCGAAGGCACTGTTTTGGGACCTCATGTATGAATCGTGGGTGATCCTGAGAGATCAGGAAAAAAGCACATTCTCTGCCCTGCCATGCATCCTCACTGGGACAGTAACTCATCCTCCTCTATTCATCTACATTTCCACAGCCTAAGCCTGGCATGTCATCATAGTACAATAAATGTTTATTAAGCTGCACTTACCAATGGCAGAAAATGCATTTATTATGGAAAATGGACGAACGTTTGTACACGTAAGCCTTACCAACCTTTAATTATGAAATATTACCGTATGGTAATATAGAAAATAAAAATCTGAAAAACCCAAGGCCTTCATAAAACTGCAGGGGCCAAGACTATTCTCTTTTGCATAGAGCCACGCTTTGGCTTCTTCAGATAAATGTCATTTTGTCAACAACGAACCCATCATTTCTAGGTTAAACTTTGTGGGTAGCAAGAGTGAGGTGAGTGGCTCTGCCTGCTTGGGTAGAACATTCCTGAAAGACGTATACTTGTTCTTATTTTCCAATCAAGCGAAGTCATCACAAGAAGGGAGAACTCGTTTTGAGCATTTCCCACTGTGCTAGGTTGCTAGATGCTTCCGTGTATGTTCTTTCCTTTAATCCATCTAACAGCTAAAAAACAGCATTTCACTTTCTTATTTTGGATAATGGAGCTGAGTCTGAGAAAGCTTCAGTAACTTCTTCCCTTTTGTTTTCTCCAAAACCTATACCATTTTAATTCTGCAGAAAAATAGCAGGGCGTTTATGCTACCACTAAGCAACATTTAAGAAAGATTTATATTTGTTTTTCATTAATACTGAAAGACAAAAGGTGCAGCATTCCCTTTCAAAGAAGTGTTCTGAGAGATGATATATATAGACACGTACCTGTCTTTATTGGAGGAAAGATAATTTCTTGATCAACTCCTTTTTTATTATTCTCAGTGTCTGACGATACATCTGTGTTCTTTATGCAGTGACTTCTCTGGCACCGTTAACCAGCTAAATTTCATGTATGTGTCATTAGTCTTTATGGTGTTTCCCTCCTGGGATTCCAGAATCATACTGCTATTCTTTTCTTGCCAATGTATATTAATAACATCGGGGAAAAATTTCTCAAGAAGACAAAGATACGTTCCAGCCTTGTGGAGGTTTGTTTCAGCAATTGAAGGAAGAAAAACAGTGGGCTTGGGGGAAATGTCTGCACCAATATATTCATCTATGGGGAGAAATGGAATATGAATTTAAAAGAATTATTAGAGAAACACACACATTGCATGGTTTGGAATGGCCTAGTACATAACAACAAAAACAGAAGTTGCTAGTGAGCTGGTGTCCTCCATGGCCTTTCACCCAGGATAGGTTGCACAGTACTTATTATTGTGCTTATTTTACAGACGTTGTAAAGAGGATCAAGAAACTAAATAACTTGCCAAAAGTCACGGCTCTCAACTGTCAGATGCTGGATGAAAACCTGGCCTTTGTTTATTTTGCCCAAGCTGTGATAGAGTGTGATTTTTACCTGCCTCCTACCAAGGCTTCCAACGTTCATGAACATATTCATTTTATTTTTTAATCTCTTGTTTCATCACAGTGAAGCATGTTTTCAAAGTGGATGGCAGGGGAAAGGGAAAGAAGATCAGATAACTTTAAAGATCTCTCTACAGATGAGACTCTTTGGTCCTTTTCTCACTTCCCTTTCCCATCCTTTATAACTTACAGTCTTTGGCCAAATAACATACATTCTTATGTTCCACAATTTTGCATACTCCCACTCTTCATTTACTTATTCTGTGATATGCCATATTTATTTTATTATTATTATTATTTTGTTAGACTGGGGCTTGCTCTGTTGCCCAGGCTGGAATGCAGTGGCACAATCACGGCTCACTCCAGCCTCAACTTTCCAGGTTCAAGTGATCCTCCCACCTCAGCCTCCCAAGTAGCTGGGACTACAGGCATGCACCACTATGCCTGGCTAATATTTGTTTGTTGTAGAGACACATTTCACCATGTTAATCAGGCTGGTCTCAAACTCCTATTTGTTTGTTGTAGAGACACATTTCACCATGTTAACCAGGCTGGTCTCAAACTCCTGCGCTCAAGTGATCTGCCTGCCTCAGCCTTCCAAAGTGCTGGAATTATAGGTGTGAGCCACTATGCCTAGCCATTTTTTTCACTTTTATTGTTAACAATAAATACACAGTCACTTGCTTTAGTGGGAATCTACTTCCACATATACATACTGTCTATCAAGTTGACTGTGTAGCTTCAATGTGTATACCATGTGCAGTCCTTCTGGTTAATATCTAACTTTATATAATATCTCAATTTCACATCTGCACCCTCCAGGTTTTTGGGTGAGCCAGTATTTACAGCTGTACCTCCAAATTATTCACCATGTCTTGAATTTAGAAGCAAAATGGCAACATTTGCAAAACTCCTATTAAAAAGTTTTATTGATTTTCAGAAATACTCTTGTGTTAATCTTTTCCAGTAATGCACTTATCAAAATTTTGTTTTGCTTTAGAAAATATTAACCAAAAGCACATTTTATTTTGGAATTTCATTTGAAGTTTAAGCATAACTAAGAACACACCAGGGGTATGTTGTTTAGACTGATTTTTAATAAATTAATAGGGTAACTATTAATGAGAAAGTCTGTATAAATCAGCATATCTATATTTTGACTTTTGATGTCTCTCCCAGAATTTGTATCTGTCCTATATGTAATGTAACTGTTTTAAAGCTCCGTTATTGTCTTTGTCTAAAAATCACTGTTTTTGGACAGTGTGCCAAGTACTTAATTTACACTATCTTCTTCAATTCTCGTACAACCTTGCTGAATGCATACTGCTATCCCATTTTATGGATTAGAAAACTGAGGCCAGAGAATAATCACCCAAGTTTGCTAAGCAGTGAGTGGTGGAGCTGGAGTTCCAGGTCGACCTGACTCCAACACCTGGGTTCTTTCACAACATGCTGGACCATCAGAGGTGAACATGTGTCCACTTGATAGAGTCTATCACAGACTTACCTGTCATAATACATTTTGTCTCAGGAACAAATATTTTAATAACATTTCATACATCATATGTGAGTACTTTATAGAAGTCCATATATGCACAAAGCCAAATCCTATCATGATATTTGTACAATATTAGCTCGGTTCTCTTTTAGTATAAGCATTTGTTCTAAAGTCTCTCCTAAGATTTCTACATCAAATCCCCATCAAATTCCTCTTTTTTTTCTAAACATTATTACATTGTTCCAATTTAATCATTTCTTCCCTTCCCTCTATTGCCTTGGAAATATTGTATTCTTCTGATACCCACCTGTGACGACAAGTGTTGTTCCACTACCAAAGAGTTTCTTAAAATAATAATCCCACAGTGATTCAATCCATCTCAAAAACTTAAGTCAGTTTCCCTGAGTTCTTCAAATTCTCGTGGTCTGAGATTCTCAAAACACCAGGGTTCCAGTCGTCATTCATTTTGCTCATAAAAGTTATGTTGCTCAACAAATCAGATAGCTTAAAGCTTTTGGTGTTTTATTTATCTAAAAACAGCGATACTAGTGGAAATCAGTTCAACATCGCTACCGGCACTGAAGTGAGACCAAAATGAAAGAAGCTATAAACAAGCAATTTGATCAAAATGTTACAGGTCCCAGTGCGGTGGCTCAGTGCCTGTAATCCCAGCACTTTGGGAGGCTGAAGGTGGGAGGATTGCTTGAGCTCGGAACTTCGAGGCCAGCCTGGACAGCATAGTACATAGTGAGACCCCATCTTTACTAAAAATTAAAAAAATATATCAGCTGAGCATGATATGCATGCCTGTAGTCCCAGCTACTCGAGAGGCTGGGGCAGGAGGGTCGCTTGCTCCTAACAGTTTGAGGCTGCAGTGAGCCTTGATTGCACCACTGCACTCCCACCTGGGCAACAGAGGAAGACCCTGTCTCAAAAGATTAAAAAATGCTGTGGAAATACAAGAGGTTATGGTGATGATATCATCATCATTGTTACGATTAGCAATCTGTTTGCTATTATTGTGTGCCTTGACATGGCATTTTAATCCCTTACTAAAAAAAAAAAAATCAGCAGTTTTGGAGTGGCAGTTAAATCCACAGCAATTAAGCAGGAGGAATCATTTCTCAATTCCTCCGTTTGCATTCCACTTTGCTCTGACGTGCCTAGGATTCTCAAAGCCACCATCCCCAACAACACAGGAAACATGCTTTCCACACGCCCAATTTTTAATAGGCTATCATTTGCCTTATCTGCTGTGTTAAGAAAATCAAAGGGAACCCTGACTAAAGTCTAATATATGCAGTCAGTGTATGGAAATTCTTCATTTGTGTTTTCCAAAACAAATGGCTCTTTTTCCTAGTCAGCAGCACGACATATCTGCATTCCAAGTTTTATCAGAAATTTCAGCCTCAGACTGTCTTCTGAATTCATGCCAAAGTCCAACTTAAAACTCCTGTTTTGGCCCTTCAAGGCAGAATGGCTAGAGAAATGGCAGGAGGCATGGTCCTCAAATCCATCTTTCTGTTATCACTTTAAATCACTACATGTTATCTGCATGATCATGTCTGCTGAGCATCACCGTCTGTTCATTTCATTAAATGTCGGGATTCCCACAGAACGGATGCAGTAATATACAATGGGTTTGCTTCATGGCCATTCCTTTCATTTTCCAAAACGGAAGTTGAAGGCAAAGCCCACTCTTCTATTTCCTTCTAAAGGACTCATGCATCAAAGACCTTTTCTAATTTTGTAATGGAAAATATATTATATTTGAAGATTTGGTGTGCTGCTTTTTACAGTTAGTAAGAAGTATGTATTCCCCTACCTTTTTCTCCTGCCTTTGAGCATAAAATTTTAACCTGTGCTCCTTGCTAGACAATCACAGGCATTTTTCCTTCTCCTTTCCATAGAGCTTTTGATCATCTGTGTTTACCTAACGGTCTGACTATACTTGTGTATTTTAATTTAGGTCTTCTCAAATAGATTTTGAAAACAGGTAGCTTAAGTAAATAACATATGGTTTGTGCATTATAGCATGCTTCTCTTTTGTCTCCAGCAGTTGATTGTTTTGTAAGATCAGGCTCACATAAGACACAGGAATAGAGAATTATGTTTGCAAATCCTACCTCTGTGATAGGGACACCTACATACTAAATTTAGATAGAAAGTGCCAGAACATAAAATGAGGCTTTCTTTCCCAAAATTTTCTCTCGTTATATGGGGAGTTGTCTAATGTATGTTACAGTCCTTGTGTAACCTCTCATATTTAAAAATGTTCTTCTAACACTCCGCTTTGATCCAAAAGTACGAACTAGATGAGATATCAACATGAAATGAACTCAATGAATGCTAGTTTTGGTAAAATGCACTGATAAAAGAAAAAAAAAGCAAAGAAATTTATCATGGATTTGGTCATTATTAGTGGGGCTAAGGTCCCTGCAGTTTTTACTTACTTCATACAAATGTAGAAGAACAGAATAAATTGGAAAAAAAAAAAAAAAGAAATTCCTTTTATTTTGTGAGTGGATAATTGTTTCTTGGGATAAAATATTCAGAGACACCATCCTATGGGGATTCCAAAATGGACACTGAGACCTCAGATGGCTTAGAAATTTGCTCTAAGGTAGATGTTTTAGATGCATGTGAAGCATTGAAACAAAATTTTTAATTAAATATAAGGGCACAAAAGGTAATATTTCTCAACTGATACTGCTATTGATATAATTTTTAACTTTGCAGGTATGATCCAGTTAAGAAATTGAAGTTATAAGTAGACATTTGACTGTTTTACTAGATTCTTATAAGTTTACATAATGAAGTTGGGGGATGGGAAAAATATAGATTTTTCTTAAACTTCTATATATTTTCTCTGGAAAATGAAAAATCACCTTTTATTCAGGCAGATTATGTTAGAGATAATACACAAAACATTCTAATTACTTTTGGAAGCAAGTACAGTTAGTCGTTTAGAAATAGAAAGCATTTTACAGATAGTGATATTTGTTCTGAAGTGAGCTGTTGAACAGATGGGGATTGATACATTTATCTGTATTCCCGAGTTTATAAAGACCTCTCATGGGTCATAACTTGAATTCTGGAAGAGAAATTAATATTTCTATCACCTACCAAGTGCCAGGCATTCTGGCAGGTAATTCCATATTTAATTTCATTTAATCTTTACAACATTCATATGAGATAAATAATCTCCATTATATTTATTGTACAGATCAACTGGAAATCAGAAGTTTCAACTTTGTTCTGTTATTGAAAAATATTAAGGACATTTGAAAAAAATGTTTATGAAGTAGTGTGAAGGTGAAAAAGCCAGATCTATTATTGTGTATTTCCTATGATTCCAACTTTCTAAAATAGACAAAAAGCATAGAAAAATGTTGAAACGAAAGTATAATAAAATGATAATGTGATGAGGGTGAACTAAAAATTGTAATTTTTTTTATTTTTGTGTGTTTTCCAATTTTTCTATAATTAATCATTATTTTTATAATTTGAATAATTGGTGAATCAAAGCACTCTTCCTAAAGCACAGTTACAGTACATAGAAAGTAGTAGACCCACGAGTCATCAAGAAAGAAAGTCTGTACTTTTTCCTGTACCACACTTTCCTGAAAAATCACTTCTCAGAAAATTACAAATTATGAATTTGATTGCTATAATTTACATTAAGTCATTTGAATAAAAGAGAATTGGGAGGTCACTTGTTAATTTATAAGTTCCTTTTATCATATGATCTCAACCACTAAGGAAACAAAAATATATAATTGCTTTCCCTTTTTTCAATGCTTTATGAACTTTGTGAAAATTCTCTGAAAACCTTCATTTCAGTGGATCTAATAGACTAAGAGTATCTTTATAAGATGCTTTCTCTCATCCAAGCAAAATTGCATCTTTAAGCTTAGGCTAACAAATAATAAATTAACTTATTGAACTGATTTATAAAAACAATAAATGCAGCTTATGTCACTTTTGAATATGGTCACACTGTTAAATACTTTGACACTTGATGTTAATCATCCTTTGGTCAAATTATCAAATATTTCATCTTTCAGTGACCAAATGATGAGGAGAGCTGATTCGTTTTCACTCTTTTCCATTGGTTATTTTTAAAATTGAAGAAATAAAATTTCTAAACTAAACTTGTTTACAAAACTTTCAAAGAGAGATACCAAAGGTCTCCCTCCTTTAGAGAGCCACAGTTGGTCAAAGCTTCTTAGTAATGTCTCCCATATTAGAGCAGGAGAAGGTCTGACTCCTAAGGCATGATCTAAGTCACTTGAATTCTAGAGATTTCACCATGATTAGTGACCAAACCAGGAGGGGATCCTAGAATTCTGAGCCAGCTGCTGCATGCCTACCTCCCATCCTTCTTTACATTGCAAAATTTAAAGAAAACGTACCTGTAATGATGAGCTTTGTTCCGGGACCGAACACCTTGATTTTTTTGCCAAACTCTTGCCCACCACCTGAGAAGCCTTTATAAGAAACTCCCTTTGTGTTTGTTTTAAAATTGTGCCAACATTTTTTTCAGTATTTACATAAATACATAAAAATTGGCCCCGTTGACATTAAGCCAAGACAAAGCTCAAACAAAATCACAATAGACCTGAATGTAATTAGGAATTTAAGAACCGACCTTACCCTATCCTGCACACTTTGGGTTATGTACATTCTCTCCTTGTGTCATATACATTGGAGAGTCTGATTTTACCTTTTCTCATGATTTTGCCTGAATCTTCTAAATCTTCCCTAAAGAGTTTTCGTGTATGCACTTTGTCTTAAGTGTAATTTAGAGTTAGTATTTTCCTAATTTTCAAAGAGAAAGAATAATAGTATACTTAAGTTTGACATTTAATAAATAGATAATTCAATATGATTTACAGGTATTTTGTGATTCATATGTATGGAGGGATGGGTATCTAGATTGATTCTAAAGTAACTTCTTTTTGGCCGGGTGCAATGGCTCGTGCTTGTAATCCTAGCACTTTGGGAGGCTGAGGTGGGGGCAGACCACTTGAGGTTGGGAGTTCAAAACCAGCCTGGCCAACATGATGAAACTTCGTCTCTACTAAAAATACAAAAGAATTAGCCAGGCATGGTGGTAGGTGCCTGTAATTCCAGCTACTTAGGAAGCAGAAGCAAGAGAATCGCTTGAACTCGGGAAGTGGAGTTTGCAGTGATCAGAGATCATGCCACTGCACTCCAGCCTGTGTGACAGAGACTCTATCTCAAAAAATAAATACATAAATAAATAAAAATAAATAAAGTAACTTCTTTTTAGAATCCAGTTCTCACTGATAGAATACTAGAAGAGTTGTTACAAAAATGAATTCTTAATGATGATTCATTGCTGAAAGACTGCTCCTTTTGACTTGGAAATACCCTTACAGTTTCCCGATCATTGAATTAAATTCTGTGCTACTCACCAGAGAATCTGAGGCAGCTCCGAGTTATGCAGCTTAGTACTGCAATATAGCATAGTTGCAATAGCTCCTTTATTAGTTTCAACATATCTAGCAAATTTGATGCCAATACAGAAAGACAACTGAGTGGAATGATGTCAAAATGACCCATTCTATAGAAATAACCTAAAAATTATATTTTGAGTATTTAATAAATTCACATTCCACATGACTTTTTGGAGGAGAGAGCATTTCAGTGTCATAATTAGAAGCAGAAGAATTGTATTCATGTACAAATAGTAATACAAATTGTGACTTGTTACTACAAAAACAGTCAACTAAAGTGTCTATTCATGCAATCAAGCTACAGAAGAGGAAATATTCAAAGTATAAAAATATGACTTAATATTTCTAAACATCACATAAGGGTCCAGATGAGGCACTTTGGAATATCCAGACAGCCTTAGCTAGATCCTAAACTGCCACAGTGACTAGTCATGTGACTTTAAGAAAATAACTGATCTTCTCTAGGCCTCGGTATCCTCATCTGTGAAATGAAAATAAGAGGATCTCCTGTATAGGTCTGATGAGGAATGAGATAATGCACTGAAACTATTAGCATGGTGTCTGGCTCTCAATAAACTTTACTAATATTAATTTTCTCCTTAAGGGGACAATATTGGGTCATTTTATCAAATTATTCCACCAAACACAATACATAGATCTTATAAGCAATAACTACTACACAAATTAAGAAAGAAAATGAGCTCATGAACCCAAGACCTTCGCTTCTCTGGCAGCCACAGGCCAAAGAACACAGGCAGGGCCCAGCCAAGCCAGAATCTAGAATACTTATCTGCCAGACTGGCAGCTTTTGAGTGTTGAGACTGTGTCTTGTTTGCCTTTTTATCTCTAACATCCAGAACAATTCAATTAATATTTGCTGAGACGATGAATGAACAAATGAAGATGTAAAATCATGAAGACTCTTTTCATTCACCATGGAGCTGAAATGGCTGTTTGAACTTACAAATTCTATTAAACTGGGCCATTTCCAGGTGATACAGCAGAGTTCCAATAGTATAAATGTTGAATGACCTTAACCTCCTTCAAAGAAACAAGAGCAGTAACAAATGGGATGTATTGACCTTCTATAGTAATTTACTATAAGAATTCATTTTTTCTTCACTGTTTCTCAGGATGAGATAAAAATTAATAATATGGGTTTGGCAGGCTACCAGAAGAAGGGAGCACTATGTTATATCTCAAAATACAGAGAAGAGATAATTAATAAAATTCCATTTTTATGTCTCTTACTTAAAAGACCTACAAAAAAGTGTCCTTGGACCAAGGACTTACGCCAATGGTATACAGACACGGTTCTCAAAACATTTTAATTTCTAGCCAGAGTCTACGTCTACGGGTGTGTGTGTGTGTGTGTGTGTGTGTGTGTGTGTGTAGAATTTCAATCTGCTTACAGACAGGCAAAATTGCTGTTTGTATACTGAGGCCAGGAATGTGAAAGGTTCAGATAAGGTTGATCATTTTTTTCTATAAAGCATCTATCAGTTTTTCATTACGGGGATAAAAGCAGAAAAAAAAAGTTACTTACCAGGTGGAGTTATTATGAGCTTAGTCCCCTCTGCAAATATCTTGATCCAACTGGTGCTCTCTAGTCCCAGGTGGCACAGTAATAGACCCCAGAATCATTTTCAATTAGATTTTCCCACTCTCAATTTCCAGCTCCTGCTTGTGATTGTATAAGTATCATACTTTCCTGGACTGATTCCTGATTCCGATACCATTTTGGAGTTGTAGGAGATCATAGTACAGAAGACGCTGTGGGGCCTCCCCCTCCTGGTGGAGGTACCAGTGGATGTATCTGGTATTTTCTCCAGGAAGATCACAGGTGATTACAGCAGATAACCCCGTTGTCCCGGTGACTGACTTCATTCTCCCTTCTAAGTTGGAAGAGATCTGACTCGCTACAATGAGAACAACACAGGATATAATGGGCATTCCTTAGTATGGCACCTCTCGCAAAAGAAAACAAATAAAACCCGTGAGCCTCTCCATGGGCAGCACACTCACCAGGAGGCAGCAAAGCTAGAAGCAGGGCTAGAGCCCACCCCATGCCTTCCTCTCTGGGCCTTGGAAGGAAAGGGACCAGGGAAGTGATGCCTAGCACAGTGAGGGGAGCTGGTCTTCCTGAGTCACAGCAGAGGGAAGTGACTGAGGATGCCTCTTTGGGGACTCCCAAGCCTTCCTCCAGAAGGGGAGGTGCCTGGGGGGACCTGCAGAGGAGCTCCTGCCTCTCTGCTCAGGCCGGTTCTCCAGCGCCCTCCGGTGGCAGCTGAGAGCAGGCCCTCTGCAGAAGAGAGGCAGGGGCAAGGAGAGCTCAGGCCTGCAGCAGAGGGAGTGCAGACCTGGGTGAGGCAGAGCCTGGAGTTCACAGCCCCAGCCCTTGGAGGGGGCGGTGCAGGGCTTCTGATTAGGGCCCTGAACCGCTTTCCTTTTCTATATCTGCAAGGACACTGGAGGCAACACCCAGGGACACTCTGAGAAGGCCTGAACCTGCTTTAATAACAGGAACGAGGGTCAGGTATGTTGGTGGGTTTGGATTCTCCTCCTGTATGTGATCCTATGTGTGTGTGTGTGTGTGTGCGTGTGTGTGTTTATGTGTGCATGTGTGCACGGGCACGCATGTGTGTGATCTCTTTATTAGAGGATTTCTGGCCATTGTGGTGGTAGTGTGAGTTGTTTTTTAAAAGTAGTACAGGGTGCTATGTCACACAATATTTGGGATACACTTAAACTAAAAGCTTATTTCTTTAAACTTTCAAATATTCTGGGTATTGCATATTTTATTTAGCAAACTTACCTTCAGAAAGCAGACTGATATCTGCAGGGGACCTGGATTCACAGATGACGATATGGGTAATGAAACAAGTGCAGTAAGGAAACGGTGGAAATTCAGTAGTGCATATCCAGATTTTCGCCTCCTCTATAACCAATATGTCTAGACTCATGTTTAAAATATGCAGAATAGCTGGGCGCGGTGGCTCACGCCTGTAATCCCAGCACTTTGGGAGGCCGAGGCGGGTGGATCACGAGGTCGAGAGATCGAGACCATCCTGGTCAACATAGTGAAACCCTGTCCTCTACTAAAAATACAAAAAATTAGCTGGGCATGGTGGCACGTGCCTGTAATCCCAGCTACTCAGGAGGCTGAGGCAGGAGAATTGCCCGAACCCAGGAGGCAGAGGTTGCGGTGAGCCGAGATCGCGCCATTGCGCTCCAGCCTGGGTAACAAGAGCGAAACTCCGTCTCAAAAAAAAAAAAAAAAAAAATGCAGAATAAGATGTAGAACAATGTCCGTCTCAGTTGTTGTATTGGCTTAGCTCAGAGATTCAGTTTTTGATGTCATCATAGCTGGGAATGAGAAAGGGAGGGCCCTCCAGGTGATCTCCCTCTGCCTCTGGACACCCGTGCAGGAGATGAGGCTGCAGCAGGAGAGACTCTGAAAGCTCAGTTCTCAGGGTCCTTGTGAAGGAGGGAAGCTCACCTTCCCAAGGCTGGGGAATCACCTGAGGTCAGGAGTTGCAGACCAGCCTGGCCAACATGGGGAAACCCCATCTCTACCAAAAATACAAACTTTAGCTGGGTGTGCTGGCATGTGCCTGTAATCCCAGCTGCTCAGGAGGCTGAGGCAGGAGAATCGCTTGAACCCAGGAGGTGGAGGTTGCAGTGAGCCGAGATTGCACTGCTGCACTCCATCCTGGGTGACAGAGTGAAACTCCATTTCAAAACTAAAAACAAAGAAAGAGAAAAAAAGAAATCTAGAATGGAATTTAAAATTGCCAAATGAATATTCTACATTATATTGATTTTAGTTCCATGTAAATATTTTACATATGCCAAACAAGTATAAAACAAAAGAAACCAACACATTTCTAAGTTTTAAAAATGAAAACGGAACGAATAAACTTAGGTGTATGAATGTTGGCATGAGCATATGGAGGTAAGTTATTTCAGCTGACTTTATTGAAAAAGTAGTCTGATTCTGTACCCAAAACTGAAAGAGAGAGAAAAGAAAGGAAGGAAGGAAAAACAGGAAGAAGAAAGGACAGAATTAAAGAAGGAAGAAAGGAAGGGAAGGAGGGAGGGAGGGTGGAAAATAAAAGCAAGCAAGTAAATAAGAAAGGAGAGGGGAAAAAGGCGAGGGCAGGGGAAGAGAATGTTCAACTGCATATCTAGGCCAAGTGTTTTAGTGGTAATTATAGTATGACTTATATTGTTATATACCTAAAAGAGAAGCACTGCTCTCAGCTGTGATCTCTGGATACGTGATTCAGTATAAATACCCTTCCCATTTGCTGTCCAAAGTATCTCAATCACAGCTGGACCGCAGGTGTACCTGTGTGTCCAGGAAGCAGAGTGAGTGGGCCTCCCCTGTGTCCTAGGAGAGCTGAGAAAACCTTGCTCTCAGGCCGGCTGCTTAGCTGAGGCCTGGACATGGCAGCTTGGTGTTCAGGAAAGTCCTGGGGGAGGGGTGGGAACAGGTGCAGCTGCTGCCAGGGGAGTGTGATATTAGCGGGAGATCGGGAGTGAAGCTGTGTTTCTCTCTGTACAGGATACAGGAAATTCAGTGGCAGAAAATGAGAGGGGCAGCTCTATCTTGTGTAGCAGAAGCAGCCACAAGGCAGGTTTTCAGTGTGGTGTAGGGCAGGTCTGAACCACTGTGCGTGTCCCAGGTGGCACAGTAATAGACCCCAGAATCATTTTCAATTAGATTTCGCACTCTCAATTTCCAGCTCCTGCTTGTGATTGCATAAGTATCATACTTTCCTGGACTGATTCCTGATTCCGATACCATTTTGGAGTTGTAGAGATCATAGTACAGAAGACGCTGTGGGGCCTCCCCTCCTGGTGGAGGTACCAGTGGATGTATCTGGTATTTTCTCCAGGAAGATCACAGGTGATTACAGCAGATGACTCAGTCCTCCCGGTGACTGACTTCATTCTCCCTTCCAAGTTGGAAGTTATCTGACTGGCTGCAATGAGAACAACACAGGATATAATGGGCATTCCTTAGTATGGCACCTCTCGCAAAAGAAAACAAATAAAACCCGTGAGCCTCTCCATAGGCAGCACACTCACCAGGAGGCAGCAAAGCTAGAAGCAGGGCTAGGGCCCACCCCATGCCTTCCTCTCTGGGGCCTTGGAAGGAAAGGGACCAGGGAAGTGATGCCTAGCACAGTGAGGGGAGCTGGTCTTCCTGAGTCACAGCAGAGGGAAGTGACTGAGGATGCCTCTGGGGACTCCCAAGCCTTCCTCCAGAAGGGGAGGTGCCTGAGGGGACCTGCAGAGGAGCTCCTGCCTCTCTGCTCAGGCCGGTTCTCCAGCGCCCTCCGGTGGCAGCTGAGAGCAGGCCCTCTGCAGAAGAGAGCCAGGGCAAGGAGAGCTCAGGCCTGCAGCAGAGGGAGTGCAGACCTGGGAGAGGCAGAGCCTGGAGTTCACAGGCCCAGCCCTTGGAGGGGGCGGTGCACAGCAGGCTCACACCCTGCACTGTGGCGTTTCTGCAGGTAAAGCCGCTGCCAGGGCCTCATTCTGCCAGGAAGCTTCTGATTAAGGCCCTGAACCGCCTTCCTTTTCACATCTGCAGGGACACTGGATCAACACCCAGGGGCACTCTGAGAAGGCCTGAACCTGCTTTATTAACAGGACTGAGGGTCAGGTATGTTGGTGGGTCTTGGACTTCCCTCAAAGGTAAATGGGTGTGTGTGGGGGGTGGGGGCGGGTGTTTGTGTCATCTTGTGTGAGTTTGTGTGTGTGTTGGGGGGAGGGCGTTTGTGCACATTTGTGATCTTCTTATAAGAAGATTTCTCTTCATTCAAGTAGAAGCGTTAGATTTATTTTTTAAGTAGAACATGATGTCATGTCATCCAATATTTGGGACGTACTTAAACTAGAAGCTCATTTATCTGAACTTCCAAATTTCCCAGGTATTGCATATATCATTTAGCAAGTGTACTCTCAGAAAGCTGACTGATATCTGCAGTGGACTTACATTCCTAGATGGAGATACAGGTGATAAAACAAGTCCAGTAAAATAATTGTGAAAATTCAGTAGTGCGTTTACAGATTTTCACCTTTGCTATAACAAATACGTATAGGAACATGTTTAAAATATGCATAATAAGATGTAGAACCATGTCTCTCTCAGTTTTTGTTGTCTTGACCTAGCTCAGAGAATTCAGTTTCTGCTGTTATCACAGCTGGGAACGAGAAAGGCAGGGGGCTCTGGGTGTCTCCCTCTGCCTCTGGACCACGCGTACAGGACATGAGGCTGTTGCAGGAGCAGCTCTGAAAGCTGAGTCCTCAGAGTCCTTGTGAAGGAGGGAAGCTCACCTGCCTTGGAGCCTGGAAAATCCTGCCTGGGACAGAACTCTGATGATTCAAAAAATGAGAAGGGAGAGAATTGCCATCACATTAGAAGGCATAGAAAATCCTTAAAACAAAAAAGTAATAAGAGAAGCAAACTCCACTGCATTGTAAAATGAGCTCTAAAGCTACCGTGCTGAGGAGAGGCCAATACTGGCACTAGGATGAAAAGCTTCATGGAACACAGTGGAAAGTCCAGAAAGAGAGCCACAGGAATGTCATATTTTATAATGTCCCAAAATTGTATGTTAATATCCACATGGAAATTCTTGATTATTTAATACATTCTCCTTTGGAAATTGACTTACCATAGGGAAACAAATATTCTGGGTTGCTAACTTAAAAGGTACAAATAGATATTTAGTTGTAATAAAACTGAAACAGGAAGTCATTAGACTTAAACGATGATGAATTGCACACTAATTATAGGTGACATTGTTCTCCCTGAGCCTCACATCATAATAGAGACCCTAGAAAAATTGATAGATTTTATTAAAAGTATATACAAAAGTTTAGTTCACCAAAAGGTGCTGAAAATACATAAAAGCGAATAATGAGAAATATTTTCAACATATTTGATAAAGCATCAATATCTCTAAAATGGTGTGTATCAATTCTTACAAACAAATAAGAAAAAGCAATACCTCAACAGAAGCACAGGCAAAGAGTATGAATAGGCAATTCACAAAA